AGAGCGCCGCTGCCAGCAGCGTGTCGTCTGGTGGTTAGAGGCAGCCGGCTGGCCCGAGGTCAGTCCTGCCTGCGTCTTGTTTGGCTGCCTGACCCCTGGCATGTTGCTGAAACTCAGCTCCTCGTACAATCACAGAGTCATTTAGGTTGGAAAAGACCTTTAAGATCGTCGAGTCCAACCGTTAACCCAGCACTGCCAGGCCCCCAGTGCCCCATGTCCCTGAGCAACACATCTACACGGCTTTTTAAACCCTCCAGGGATGGTGACTCCATCACTGCCCTGAGCAGCCAGTTCCAGGGCCTGACAACCCTTTGGGTGGAGAAATTTTTTCCCATGTCCAATCTAAACCTCTCATGGTGCAACTTGAGACTGTTTCTTCTCTTCCTGTCCCTTATTTACTTGGGAGAAGAGACTGACATCCAGGTCGTTACAACCTCCTGTCAGGGAGCTGCAGAGAGCGAGAAGTTCTCCCCTCAGCCTCCTCTTGTCCAGGCTGAACAACCCCAGGTCCCTCAGCCGCTCCTCATCAGATTTGTTCTCCAGACCCTTCCCCAGCTTTGTTGCCCTTCTCTGGACCCACCAGCACCTCAATGTCCTTCTTGTCATGAGGGGCCCAAAATGAATAGACAATTTGAGGTGCAGCCTCACCAGTGCCGAGCCCAAGGGGACAATCCTTGCCCTGGTCCTGCTGGCCACACTATTGCTGATCTAGGATACGTTGGCCTTCTTGACCACCTGGGCACACTGCTGGCTCATCTTCAGCCAGCTGTTGACCAAGACCTCAGGTCCTTTTCCACTGAGCAGCTTTCCAGCCACTTCTCCCCAAGCCTGTAGCGTTGCTTCTTCTTCCAAAGATAGGGGTGTGCAGAGACCTCCCTGCCCAGCAACTCCCTGTTTGGACCGTGTTCCCCAAAACCCAGTGGTTTTCCCTGCAAAGTCTCAGCACCAGAGCTAGTGGACATCCCTCTGCGGTGGGACCGTGGTGCTATGAGGACAGGAGCTGTGACTTCTAGGCATGGGAACCACGCTGGCACCGTCAGGCTGGCAGAGGCAGCACGTGCCCCATGTTTAGGGTTTGGTTATAAAGCAAAAGGTTTTTAATGGAGTGTTTTCCCAGCCAAGGAAGCTCTTAGCCTGAACCAGGGAAAACAAGAAGGTCAGCCAGGTCCTGAGCCCTTCAGGTGAAGAGTGCCAGAGCCTGGGAGGTGTGTGGGAGCAAAGAGATGCTCTGGGGAGGCTGAGGTGTGGGCACCGCGTCTGCACCAACTGCGGTGTGGGGCAGCTCGCCTTGCCGAGAGCTTCGCCTCCCCCATCCTACCAGTCCCAGCCATCAATCCAGGGTGTATCGCAGCCGCCCCCGGCTCGATTTTGCCGAGCACAGGTCCTGGACAGGCCGATGCGGTGTTGAAACGAAACGCGAGGCGCTTTGTCTCGACTGGGAGTGCTTTAAGCCCTCGCTCGGGAACAATGGCCAAGCTAT